TAAAATTTGAATTATAAACTACTTTATTATATAGATATATATATATATATATATATATATATATATATATATATATATATATATTAAACACACACACACACACACAGCCCACTTAGCCCGCTAAATGATTCACCAACTTTACATTTAAACATGTGTAAAGTTAATTGAAGAATTATGCTTGCTTCCCCCAAGTTTTTAGGTGATTTCAAAATCGACCCATTAGTATTTTCACATATGAAATTACTATAAATGGGTCTCACTAATACATCATTAATGGGATCCACATACTTAATGTATGCTCACTCACATCATGCCTATAAAATATTTAATTTAATTAATATTTTAATAATTTTACATAATTATAATTTAGCCCACTTAATTACGCTAATATATATGCAATGCATGATTGAGTCTCACATGGGTATATCTAAGAAGGTTGGAAACATATCTAAGAAGACCAATCTAGTCTTGCTTGCATCTTCTTGTGTTAGGAAAGTTAAGATTCAATGGGTAATGATTTCTATAAGGAATTTAATCTATTGAATGAATCAGAAGACTTTCTGGTAATGGGGGAAGCTCAATTCACGATGGAGTTTGTCTGCATCGTCAAGCCACAATATAAGTTTGGATTGTTTCGAGATGCATTCTTTGGTTTTGATGAGGAAACTGAAGTGGGCATCTCAGTCCACCACCATAAGTCATATCTCTGTATCTCTGTCGATTTCTCTTTCTCTCTTTTTCTTCACCCTCCACCAATCGTCATCCACCTAGCCCATTGCCATCAACCCTTCTCTCTCTTTCTCTCTATGGCAACCCTTTGCCGATCGAACTAGCACTAATTAGCACACTCAATAAACTTGGAAACTTTCCTCAATTTCCTCACCGAAACCCACTCTCACTAAAACTCTGTAAGGAAGGCTTTGAGGTATATGGAGGTATGTGAGGAGATTAATGGTGGTGTTGTTGGGTTGGTAAAGATTGAGGTATAAAAGTACAAAGAGAGAATTAAAATATAGAGAAAAAAAGATTTGAGGTAGAAGAAGAGTGTTGGAATAAAAATTACTTGGCTAAATGAGGGTATTTTGGTTACAAATTCTATAATGGACATCCACTGTGACACTTTATTTTTAAATTGGGGGGTTTAGTACAACCGTTAAAATTACCAGGAGGTCACATGCTAATGACCCTAAATACAAGGTTTATTTTTTGTATTTAACCCAAAATAATAAGAGTAATGTTATATAATCTTAAAAAGTAGAGTTGATAATCACAACAATTAAATAAGTAGTGAGTTTCAATAAATAATAAGACCTATAGTGAAATTAATGGTTATAGTTATCAAGTTTACTTTTTCACTAATGTTATTGGGACATAATTTGGGAACATAATGAGTTGTCATCAATGAAATGATAGTAAAATGTATTTAATGATAGGTCTCATTGTAGCATTAATGAATTCATTATCATATCATTGATGACAACTTATTATATTCTTAAATTATGTCCATAAATTATGTCTCAATAGCATTGCTCTTATTTTTTAAATTTTACTTTTAAGTCCATATACCATTGCTCAAATAGTAATACCAAAACAATAAAGGGGCTAGTTTGGTAATTTTGTTTAGTTCAAAATTGAATGTACATGTTGGACAATTTATATATTATTTTCTTTGTGTTCCATAGAAAAGAGAGCAAAGGATTGGCAACCCGATCAATAAAGAATTTTAGTTCTCCTAAACGGCCCACGCTTGGTTTGGTGCAATTTGAATTGGGACTATAAGCACTTGCAAGCATTAAGAGATCGAGGCAGCCACCTAGCTAGCTACCACTGCCGGTCAATGCCCCCAATGCTGCCCAACTGTGAAGGCTATATTCACACCAGCGAATAAGTTGTTCTCGTTTACCACAACTTCTGCCACGTGGAATAGATTTTTACTTTCTAGCAGCTGTGTGAATCTGGCCACTCGCCTTCTATATATATCTTCAAGGTGCCATTTTCAGAGACCCAACAATCTGAGAGTGAAGAGAAGATCAGATGGAACATAGAGGGAGTGGAGGTGGAGGTTTCCATGGCTACCGCCAGCTGCCACAAACAAACTCTGGTAATATATAGCAAATATATATTTTCCATATATGAATGATCATCTTCTGTGTGTGTGTGTGTGTGTGTTTCTAATTAATAAAGAGTGGCGTATTATTGTGGTTTCTCATAGATAGATATTNCACAAACAAACTCTGGTAATATATAGCAAATATATATTTTCCATATATGAATGATCTTCTTCTGTGTGTGTGTGTGTGTGTTTTTAATTAATAAAGAGTGGCGTATTATTGTGGTTTCTCATAGATAGATATTTTTTTTATTTTCTTAGGTGCAAAGGGCTCTGTGTTCTTTTCCCAGAAGTTATTCCAGGGTTTTCTTTTGTTTTGTTTTGTATATGTATATAGCATATACTAAGCAATTTTGCTGGTAGTGAAACAATGTTTCCCTGGGGCTTTTCTTTAATCACTGGTTATGTCTGGCAGACAGGATCCTTCTAGTTTGACAAATCAGTCTATCTAGTGTGTTTGCTAGATATGCGTTTGCTTGCAGTTTTTTTTCAGCAGCATGCAAATGTATCTTCAGTTCAGTATCAGGTCTCTGTTCGCAGAACGACATCCTATATTTTAAAGCTTAGTCACCCACCTAGTTTATGAATGTCTGTGATCTAGGGCTACATGTCAATTTTTTTTTAAAGATCGTTTCTCCTGGTGTTTGCTTTTTGTTTATAGCCAGCATCTCTTTTGAATCTCTACGATTATCAGTTATTTCCCCTCATACATGCACACATTATTGTCCACTGGGCACTGCCTCTCTCTCTCTCAATCTTTTTGCTGCTCGTTATTTACATCAGCTTGCACGATACATTACATTGGCTTCCGCATCTATATGTTTGATTATGCTAAGGCTTAGAAATCTTTCACTTGACCTCTTCGGCATCTGATTCTTCTACTTTTTCTTCTACATTCTCTTTTCTTATGCATTTTGTTTGGAATGCTGGGGCAGTGGTTGTGGATGATGAAATAGTAAATCACAATGGTAACACAAGTGGCATGCATGCAATGTTTAACATTAGATCATAAACCCCACAGTATCTCATTCTCACCTGCACGCTACAAATAATTTATTCATGTGGCGTGCACACCGCACATCCAATGAAAAACTGTCACAAAATAAAAAACATGGTGATCATGCACTCAGACTTCACAGCTATCAATATATATGCAAGCAGCGGTTGGCTGATTTTTCTCTAGCATTCACTGCAAACAGGCAGTGGTTTTGCCACTTCGGGCATGTTTTTTTTTTCTGCCCGGATGATAATATATATGTTTATTATATCAAGTGTTAGTGACGAAGGATTAATGTTCGAAGCATGGTGTATGGTGAACCTGGGTTGGTTGGATTCCATGCATCTTGTTCCCGCGTTCACTGCTGACTGATCTTTTAGGTGAGTAAAAGACAACGCCAGGTTGATGACAAAAATTGAACTGCCCTTTTTGTTTCTTTTAGGTGAGTAAAAGACAACGCCAGGTTGATGACAAAAATTGAACTGCTCTTTTTGTTTCTTCTGCATGGCTTTTCCCGAGTTTCATTTTTTTTTTTTTTGTTTTTTGTTCAAAGTGCACGCACGTTTCAATTAATTTTTTCCTCGGCCTCATCAAATACAAGTCATTCATATCAGGACTAGGTCCTATTATCTTTTTTCACTTGAACTATTTCTTGAAATTATAGTTTCAATGTAGCAGTACTCATGTCTGTCTGTCTTTGTAAAAGATTTGGACCTTTTGTGCAATTAAAAATCAAAGAGTAATGTTACACTGATAAAATTTTAGAACTAAATTTAGAGCTCAAATGACATGACAGTTGATTATTTGAAGTTTTTATTGGAGCCCAAATGACATGACCCTAATCAAAGAAGATTAAGTCAACTGTCATGTCATTTGGACATTAAATTTGATCCTAAAATTTAATCAGTTTAGCATTATTGAAAATCAAATGGCCTCTTGTAGGTTGGACGAATGGAGACCTAATGATGCAAATATTGTGGTGTTTTTAATTCCACTTTGTTATTCTTTAGGAATGTATAATTATTGGTGATGTACGTGCATCATTTGACATTGGTGTCCGATGAGTAGCCAATATTTTCTCGGCTAGTGGTAGGACAGTTTGTGGTCATTGGACTTACAAAGTGATGGGTCTATTATGCATTCCCTTGAACCATGTCAAAATCTTAGACCCCTGACCCAACTCTGCAGAGTCAAAGTGCATCCATCCGAAATCCGAAAACCAGTTAAAAGGCATTGCATCAAGTTATCAACACATTTGCTTACTTGATTACCATCTATGATAACTGGTTCATAAGCCGAACGGACAACTTCATCGTTATTGATGGTAATAACAGCCTTCGCTAAATTCTTGCTAGGGACGAAGCTCCCAGATATCACTATGAAGCTCCCTGAGATTAATCACACGAGCAACCGCTCAACCGCAGATCATCATGATACTGAAAGCACCGTTCGAGAGCAAGATCGCTTCATGCCGATAGCCAACGTGATCAGAACAATGAGGAAGATCCTTCCTCCAAATGCCAAAATCTCCGATGACGCTAAAGAAACAATCCAGGAGTGCGTTTCTGAGTACATCAGCTTCATCACGAGTGAAGCCAACGAACGGTGCCAACATGAGCAGCGCAAGACTATCACTGCCGAGGACGTGCTTTGGGCCATGAGCAAGCTGGGTTTTGACGACTACATCCAGCCCCTCACCATGTACCTGCACCGTTATCGTGAGTTTGATGGTGGTGATCGTGGTGGCTTGATTAGGGGTCCGGGAGACCCATTGGTGAAGAGAACGGTTGACCACGGAACCTATGGTGCCTTCGCACCACCAGCTTTTCACATGAGTACTAATCATCACCAAGAGTTCTTCGGAGCGAAAGATGCATCAAATGTAAGTTCATCGCAAGCTGCAGTGGCTAACCTTGAGCCATATGTCCACTTTAAGAAGTAATTAAGTGGCATAGCATGTTAGTTAAGAGGACGGTGAAGAAAGAAGAGACGTAAGAACTCTTTATGTAGTGGATGAAGGTAGTCTGGAGGGTTCCAGTGTAGACAAAGCTAGCTAGGGTTGCCCCTGCTTTTCAATTAAAAGGTTTCAATTATCTGTTCGCAAGTGAAAATATTTTTATAACTAAGGTTGCTATGATTTTAAGGAGTTGGCTGAACTTGAAGTTCGGCACAACAAAGTCAAAGGATGAGAATCGTTTCACCAATAGATTATCGCAACTGAATTTGTTTATTTCTTTTAAGCGAACAGGTAAGTTATTTACATACTAACACACCAATTGAAATTTAGTAGAGAAATCCAGTCTTGGCCTCATTTGGATCCATTATCCTCACGGAGATTATGTTAGATCATCCCATTAAAAATTCAACCATAATTAGTACCAATAAAAATGTAATCATGGAAAGCATCATTTTTCTCTTTGGTCTCCTTGGTCAATATAAATTTTATAAAATTTTCATAACAGATAATATTATACCTGAATGTATTTTACGTTATTCAATTTTCAATACCCACCACTATCGTCACTACCATTATGTATCTGCCACCATACCACCATCACCATCACTACCACTGCCACATTTGTGTTGCCGCTATCACCATCATTGTGTCACCGCCATCACCATCACCATTGTCACTACCACTATTGTGCTGTTGCAACTAACACCACCACTACCACCATTGTGATGATGGTGGTGGAAATAAGGTGGTTGCAATGAAATGGTTAAAAAAAAAGGGCAAAATTAAAATAATAATAATTTTAAGACTTCATTTCCTTATATTTGTTAAACAATTTGAATCATTTCAATACTTAAATTTCAATAGATATCAATCAGTCTGTAAATTAAAAAATTAGCATTTAGTTTTTAGTTTTATCAAATACCACCTAAGATTTTCAGTATTAAATGATAAGTAGGTGATTTATTACTTAAAAATTTAACCTATTTTTAAGAAATGCTTAAATATTAAGTGGTATGAATTTTATGTTATTAAATAGATTTAATTTATTAAGTATTTAAAGTATTCAGTTTTAAGTATTTAAATGGTGTTATCAAACAACCCATAATCCATATATTTTTCCATTTTTCTTTTTTTATTTTCTTACTAAACATGATGTATTATCTATTATTCTAATTTTTCATCTTTCTATTTTTCTAATATTACCAAACAAAAAGTAAAAAACACTTGAGATGACATAATAATTTGGGTGAGGCTATTCCCCCTTTTAAAAATATCTATTCCCACTTCATTTAATTTCTTATTATCAAACTACTAAGTCCATCACAGTAGTAACTAAATTCACCCTCGTGCTATATATACCCTTTTAATAATTAAGAAAAAAAATCAAGAAATTTGTAGTAAAAAAAATAAAAAACAAAACAAGTTTTATATTGAAATAGTCTTTACTATCACTTTTTAAAACAATCTAAATGTATACACACACACACACACACATAAATCCTAAATAAAAAATTATTAAACTTGACAAAGATACCAAAACACAACAAAAATAATAGAAATTCACACAACATACATGAAATTAAACATAGAGTTAAATCAAGAAGTAATATTAACTTATATCTCATTAGAGAAACCCATATTAAAAAAGTGTTTTTGTGAGTGTATGAGATTGAATAATGAATGAAACTCTAATCATGAAAAAATAGATATTAGACTTACTTATTAAATTGGTGTATATAATAAGTGGTGAATTTAGTAATTAATTGGATGATGATGAGGACGAAATCTGAGTCACGGGCCTTCATGAGTCTACTACAAAAAGATCCAAATATGAGACCACAGTTGGGCCACATCTTTTGGCCTAAAAAGCTGAGCCGAAGGGGGAAAGCTTAACATCAATAGAGGGCTTACTATACACACATCCCCAATCCACCCCAGTCGATGAGTAGCTCCAAAATGGAAGCTTGACCCAAATGCTGTCCTTGAATCATTCTCGTTGCACCACGTAACCCAAAGACTCAGGGACCACCCCTGACACTGGCGACAATCGTAGAGTTGAGAAAGGGCGGAACGCAAAGCCACCAGAGATCGTGGTAACAGTAGCGCCGAATAAATAGTGGCACTGGATGACAGAGGAAGCTACAGGGTGCAAATGAGAGGACCCACGAGATCAGCACAAAACAAGGTGGAGCAGCAGGAAACCCTAAGAGAATCAATGTATAAATAAAGAATTGTTATCTAACAGAGAGNTGGCACTGGATGACAGAGGAAGCTACAGGGTGCAAATGAGAGGACCCACGAGATCAACACAAAACAAGGTGGAGCAGCAGGAAACCCTAAGAGAATCAATGTATAAATAAAGAATTGTTATCTAACAGAGGGGGGGATTTTTCTTATGAACCATCTCCTTCCAGACCAGATAATCAAGCCTAAACCCTAGCAGATAGAGGAAAATACTTGCCCCCAGTAATGAATCCAGCGCTTGTATCCTTATAATTCTCACAAAAGATCAAGTAATATACAACCTCGAGGAGCAGGAGACTCCCTTTACAGTGGATGTAGCCTTAGTCCTTCGGCTAAGGTGAACCACTCACATTTCGTGTTCTTTTAACCACAACTGACTGGCCACTTAATCAACTGACCTTCGAATCATTTCACAATCTTATCCATCGGGCTTGGGCCGCAATTTCCGAGCATCATCAGTTGGCACCGTCTGTGAAAACGATTTTCATCGTTTTCCTTTTGAGTTTTTATTTGTTTGATGGTTTCAACTCGGAACATGAGTAAAACTCACGTCAATCCCCAAGTTCACCAAAACCTACCGGAGAACTTCTCGGCCCCCGAAGATCACCCCCCAATGGTGAACCTCCCTCCACTCAATGAACTAGAGGCCTACCGCCGAACCACGATGCAACTAATAAAACAAAACTAGAAGCTGATAGAGTGGATACAGACACGTCAACTCCCCCGGTTCCCACCAACACGTCAAGAGCCTCCTCCACCTTCAGCTGAACATGACGCCCCTCCTCAGGAATGTCAGGCTCTACCTAATGGGATCACTGAGCTCTATGAACGCAGCCATTCTAGGGATAACCACCAGAGAAGACACCTGGATGAACCAGACAAAGATGAGGCCCATAGTCGAGCTAGGGCCGCTTACCGAGAAAACAGACCCCACCCTCTACTGGATGCCATGGACCACTTATTGGAGCAAAAAATTTGTGAGCTCCAGCGGAAAGTGGGCAACATGAAAAAAGTGGTTAAGGGAAAGGCCCCTGACACCATGGACGCCCTAGTCTAGCAAACTGAATCACCATTCACTTTCGAGGTCCTCCACTTTCCTTTCCCCCAAAAATTATTCATGTATTCGATAGAGGCGTTCGACAGAACCAAAGATCCACTTGACTATTTAAACTCCTATAAGAACCAGATGAAACTTTAGAGTTACCCAGACCCAATACGCTGCCAGGCTTTTGCCATTACCCTCAAGGGGTCGGCGATAGCTTGGTTCAACAGGCTACAACCTACATCAATCTTCTCCTTTCGGGAGCTATCCATACAATTTGTATCACATTTTATCGGAGCAAGGACGTACAGGAAGTCGTCCTATCATCTTCTGAATGTCAAACAGGGACCTAACGAGTCCCTCCGAGGCAATGTACAATGCTTCAACTAAGAGTGCTTAAAGGTGGAGAGTGTGGACGACAAGTTCGTACTAACTACTTTCATGTCTGGACTAGGGATACAGTCCAAAGACCTCTTCTCAATAGCGAAAAATCCTCAAGCTACCATGGCTAAGGTACTGGCTAAAGCCAAAAAATATATCAACGGTGAAAAAGCCCTTCATCTGAAAGGAGGCTCAACACCTGTGGAAGGAGACAATAAAAGGAGGGACCGTAGTCCTAGGAAGGAGAGAAAATGTGAGCAATCCCCCAGAAGGGACTGCTCCCTAAGAAGAGGAAGAGAGTCCTCTCTTAAAAGGAGAAGCAACGTCCGAGATTGCCTTGGGCCCCCTCTANTGAAAAAGCCCTTCATCTGAAAGGAGGCTCAACACCTGTGGAAGGAGACAATAAAATGAGGGACCGTAGTCCTAGGAAGGAGAGAAAATGTGAGCAATCCCCCAGAAGGGACTGCTCCCTAAGAAGAGGAAGAGAGTCATCTCTTAAAAGGAGAAGCAACGTCCGAGATTGCCTTGGGCCCCCTCTACAAGAACTAAAGCCCAGATTTACCTTGAAGTGACTTCCACCTCTGGTCACCTCCATTGCGCAGGTCCTCCATGAGGTCCAAAATGAGAAGTCCACCTCGAATGAAGTCTGATCATAGGAAGAGGGACACCACCAAGTACTATGAGTACCACAAGGACATAGGCCACAAAACGAATGACTGCATCCAGCTCAAGAAAGAGATCGAGTAGCTAATCCAAAGGGGACACCTGCGCCACTACATGGCGGGTAAAGGGAGAGCTCATAACAACCAAGGGTGGGGCGCTAGAGCAGCCGCTGAGCCTCCTCAGCCACATCAGCAAGCTCTTGGCGAGATCCATGTCATCTTGGGAGGATTTGCAGGAGGGGGTGAATTCAACTCGACACGGAAGACATATGTCAAGAGATGTGGAGATCACTTTCTCGGATACAGATCTCGAAGGGTGCCAGCACCTGCATGACAACCCCCTGGTCATAAAGACAATCATCGCAAACAAAGCAGTACACCGAGTGCTCGTCGACAATGAAAGCTCTGCAGACATCATCTTCTTATCGTCCTTTGATTAGCTCGGCATAGAGAGATCAAAGCTTGAGCCTGTGAAAACCCATCTATTGGGCTTCTTAGGTGAAAAAGTCTTACCAATCGGCTCTATTCAGCTCGTCCTCACCATAGGAGACCAGCCTTGCCAGGTTACAAGCACTATTCATTTTCTAGTGGTTGACGCCCCTTCTACCAACAACGTCCTATTGGGAAGACCATCTCTTAATTCCATCAAGGCGATA